CTGTAAACTTCTACCAGACTACAAGGTGTCATATCTAAGAGGACAGTTCTCTTCAAATTACATTTTGTTATTTGAAATTTATTCCATGTAGCCAAGCCTCAAAATTATTGTAATGAAATGAGAGCTTTACTCTTATTGCTATTAATTGGGAAGCGAAGATTCCGTTTCTAAGTTATGGCTGCGTGGGCCGTCATCCTTTCGACATATCGAAATGAAAGCTGCAACTCTGAGATATATTGGCCCTTGCGCAATGGATAGGCCTCTGCTATGAACAGTGCTGTCTTTCAGCTGATCGTCTTGTGTGGCACAGTTTATAATAACTGACCTTCGTCTTAATGAATCAGCTGCAATTGCTTCCACGTATACGGCTGTAGCCAGGGTTGGAAAAATTCCTCTTCTCTGATATTGGTGTAAGTGAAATATAATGTGACGTGCTGTCTAAAAGCTGGGCAATGAGAATGCATGCTACCTAGGATACCCCCTACCCAACAGAAGCAGAATTTTTTTAATTCCAGGGGCAACGGATATTCCAGCTAACAGAGAAACTGAACTTTTCGACAAGGTAGCCTCTATCCCGCCCGAGCGTAGGATAAGCGAAGAAGTGTTCAGGGGACCCAGCCAGTTCGTATCCAACGAGAGCAAAGTCAGATCAACTTCTAAGACCGAAGAGCCAAGATGAGGTGCACATATAACATTTGAAGAGCAAACGTCTGAAGTGCGAATGATTCTATTAGCGAGTGTAAAGAGTGATTGTCCAATAAACATATACATCCAAATCCTAGACCCACGTAAATTTCTTGCCGCGTTACCTAGGAAACACACGAAAATATATAAGACAAATAAAAATGTTGTCGAGGCTTTAAACCCGTGTGGAGGAGGGGTCGAACACCTCCACCGTGACCCTGCGAGTCGTAGGAGGCGAAGAAAAAGGAAGGCTCAAATCTGAGACAGAAAAAATATGGTCGGAGTCCCAAGGGACTTGGACCCGAGAAAGACTGCTCTGGCAAGGACCAACAGCATATAAAAAAGACAGACCCATCCTCTCGTCACAGAGGGCGCCCCCCCTCCGAAAAAAAACAATACCTAACTGTGAAACAGTAATGAATATCTGGTCATTAGCCCCAGATGAGGCTGGACACGAAGACTTACTGACTGACTGACAGTCGCAATGTGACTTTTCCGAGGATTTACTATTATATCGTTCGCTAAAGAAATTTCTCTTTGGTATTAATAAAGAGAAATAGAATTACATGGCCATGCCTTTAATGGCAACCTTGTCGCTACCGCCTTAAATAAATATCTTTTGTGATATCATGATGTTGTTAGGGACATAGAATGGTATATTCGAGTATTGTTGTATAACTGAGGAACCGACATTTAAAAGGTAAAAGTATCCCTGTAATAGACCATGCAGGCCCATAGGGTTGTGAGACGTCGAGGATTTCACATTTTTCTAGACAATCGGCTCATAGATGGCGGTGAGGTTGTAACGCTTATACGCCGACCTCCCTTTACCCCCAGGAAGATTCCGGGTACTTATTTCTTTTAAAGACTGAGTCGACCCCAGGATCATAGTGCGGCTGGAAGGATTAATTGAATTGAAAAATCCAATGACCTCATTGAGAATCGAAACCGCGTGCAGCAGGTAGCGGCATTTATTATTGCAAAATCTTGCATTGAAGTACTCGTAGATAATTCATGGAGCAAACATTTGTCTCTGCTTCGAAAATGTGGCAGATACTTAGCGCATATTTGACATATAGAGAAACGTTTGATGACTAATTCCTTTGCATTCTGTTCTTACCTGTGGATTTCTGATTGTTCCTTTTCGATTTCCTCATAGCAAATTTGAAGATCTTCAGCGATTTTCAGTGTCTATTTAAGATGAGATTAATTGATTCTGGAAGATATGATATTCATCTATAAATCCCTTTCAGAAAGCGATTTTCTTGAATACAACTTATAGTCTTGTAGAATGATATCGACGTTTCCAACGAAAACGCTTCCTGAATTTCAGGATCTATGTTTGTTTTTTTGAAGAATCAGTTAGGTTACGTAGACATTTTACAATTACGGCTATTTCCAGACCCACGAGAAAAGGAGAGGAATATCCTTCGGTGGGCTATGCTTCTTTGAAAAGTAAGTATCAGCCTTCAAAACTACACGGTGTCACAAAGGAGAAGAACAAAATTTAAATAATCACGGATGTGAAAACCTCAGTATTTATATAATTCCTTCCGTTGAAAAGTAAGGATAAATACTTCCCCTTCAAACAGTGTCCACAATACAACACAAGTATTTAGTGTTCTCGAACATTCTTTTCTTTGTAAATACACCTGCTCGTTGCCTCTCCACCAGTCCCTTTGTAACACACACCACCTAGCGAGCACACCTATAAAATAACGGGTAATGTCTATTAATATCTTTCAAGTGAAGAAATATGTTAAATTTTATGTTTATTTGTACTCACTCTTGCCGTTGTCACTGTTGAGGGATTGCGGTCTCTTCAGCTAGACCACAGAACACAATTACCTACAACAGAAAATTATTGTGTTCCATATTCTAAGAGTCTGGGCAATTCTTCAGTTCCTCCAGCTGAACGCCCGTACAGTATCTCAACATAAGCTATTACCGTTCTATCCTACATCCTTAACAAAACCGCATTTCACAAAATGTCCTACCATGTCTCATTCTAAATACGTGTATAAACCCAGGAGCCGATATTAGCTATAGGTAGAGGCAGCCAATGCCAATCTCAGTTCTCGTGCGGTCTAAAGCAAGGACCTTCTTCGCCTGCGCGAACACTGGGATCGTGGGTTCGAATCCCACTTAAGAATTGTTTGTCTGTGTGCGTTTATTCTGTATTTGTGTTGTTCTGTGTGTAGGTAGCAGCCTTGCGACAAGCTGATCCCCCGTCCAAGGAGTCTTACAGACTGTGTAAAGGATTAAGAATTTCAAAAGGGACGAAGATCCAACGAAAGGACTATAGATCCCTAGATAGATAGATAGATAGATAGATAGAGGCACCAGATATCATGATATTCTGTATTTTTTATTCAGTCACACCAGGAGAATGTCAAAATAATGTAAATAATTACCTGACTTTTACTGATCTCGAAATTTCATTACCGAGTTCACACGGTACTTTCACTTTACCCAATCCTGGGGAAGAAGAATCACTTTCAAGTTGTCACACCAATTCTTTAAGGACCCGTTTCAAAGTACCGGCCATCTTCGCCTCTGCCTCTAAACTGCACCTTGCCCTTCACGATTTCCGACCAATATTTTGTAACAATTTCTTGTCTCCCCAATGCATACTACATGTCTCGCCCAGTCCATCCTTCTTCATTTGACCAAATTAACAATATTTTGTGAAAAGCACGTAAGTAAAAACTGAGGTAAAATAAATCTGTCCCTCTGCTTAACTAATCAAGCACTACACCATGAAGGCATATAGGGGAGTGGATGTATAGATTCAGATTTTCTTGGCCTCGGCAGTAATTGGAGGTGAGTGGTTAGCTTCAGGCCCCGGCCGTTTTATTCCAGGTACCCATTGGATAGGAGGTTGGGTGGACCTCAGAGCCGGTACGGAGCTCGTGGATAACATAAAATTCTTAATCCCACAGCGTCTCGAACTCCGACCCATTGGTCGTGCAGCCCGTAGCCAGTCACTATACCATTGAGCTACCCCGACTCCATTTTATGAAGTGTAGGCTTTAACAATTTACAAGTTCATTATTAGTAATATGCTGGTTTATTTTTCACGTGAATTATCACCTCCAAAATCTGTCTATCTATGGTTCTACAACCCTTGTGGACGTTGGCCGCTTTTCTTAATCTATACACAGTCGGTAGGACTCCTTGGACAGGGGATCAGCCTGTCGCACGACCGGTACCTACACACAGAACAATACAAACACAGAATAAACACACTCAGACATCAATTACTCGAGTGGGATTCGAACCCACAATCCCAGTGTTCGAGCGGGTGAAGACGGTTCATGCCTTAGGCTGCCCGGCCACTGTGATCAGCGACCTCCAGAATCATCCTTCAAGTAATTTTGTTTCCATAGCTCATCCTACGTTGAATAGCATCAGGAGATAATATAGAATCGCGAAGTAGCTAAGTAACTTAACCTATCACATCGAGACCAACAACTTCTTGTGCAGTTCGGTTCCTTTTTAAGCAATGCAACTTTTTGTTGTTTCCTTTCCAAACCTTAACACTGAGACGCTACGAAAATCTCATGTTTCCCCAATTGTCAGTATGAAGATTACTCTCTGTACTGCGGCCACTTCTGGCCTATTGTACGAGCCCCAGATGAGAGGTGAGGGTGATTGTGGAGCAATTGGTGGAATGAAGATTGGCAGGGGAAACTGAAGTACTCGGAAAAATACCTGCACCAGAGCCATTTTGTCCACCACAAATCCCACTTGACCAGACCCGGGATCGATCCCGGCCCGCCGCGGTGGAAAGCCAGCGACTAACCGCTTGAGCTATGTCGCGGGCCCAGATTGGTATGTAACTACCAACATTTCGGTGGAAAGGCTACCTTAGTTTTTGCTGTTGTCTGCACTGAGGATGGAAACAGCAAGGCCATCTGAAACGTTGATACCTATCTACCAAACTACACGGCTTCAGATGTCAGAAGACAGCAACCTTCGGTGATAAGCTATGCTAACAGGACTACGGTTGTTCCTTCCGGTCGGGCGGCTATTGTTGACTTTTGAGTAACGAAGGATGGCCTGACTTCACACCTCTTTCTCACCCCCTAATGGACGTCATCACACAGATATACTGCAAGCGCAGTTTAGCAACGGTTGTGCAACGTATCTTCTTGCGCTCAGTAGCCTTCTTAGTGCTGTGATGCTGATGAAGTCTTGCTGTGTTATTTTCTTCAGTATCCATAAAATTGACTCTGTTTTAAATTGCGTAAGACCTGAAACCACTGAAATTCTTTTGACTGAAAAGTGAACCTTACAATATCCATCCTCTGGTAATTAAATTAAGCGTGTTTCAATTGTTTTTGTAAAGGTAAACTCCGTGAAGTGGTCAGAATCATGTGAAAAAAAGTGCTCGTGCGCACGCCCGTGTGTATTTGCCTATGCGTAATGTTTGCGTAGAAGTGCAATGATATAGTGCGTTGAAAAGTTCTGTCATCTTCGCTACAATACAGCAGCACAGCCATGACACGGTTTATGTTCTTGACTGTGGTAATAATGAGCACATATTTTCTTCAGGCAGCTTTTGGCAGAGGGTAAGATTGACAACCATAGATCTCTATTTAGCTTAATTTCTTCAATTAATGCATTCACTGTCCAGGATTCCAGGTTCAGGAGTTATGATCAGCTACGCAAGCACGTTCGTGTGTAAAAACAAACTCTTCTATCGAATGCAATGTCAAAATCCGTAAACATTTCACTCCACACAACCGAGAAGATGTGGAAAACGGACGAAGTGTCTTGAAGATGAAACTAAATATGGCTATGTAAGATTTGAGGTTTTCACGGCGGTGACTATGAAGAAAGCAGTCGTCTGGGATGTGGCACCGTGTAGTAGTAGCGTTAACCGACGTTTCGGAAGAAAGTATCGCCTCAATCTGGACAGTCTGTTTACACCGGTTATCACTGTCTCTTCGCTTGTGGATTTTCTTATTTTTCCTTCTACACTGAAGATGGAGGCGATAAGTTCCTCCGAAACGTCTGTCAACACCACATCTACACGGTACCACATCCCAGAAGAGTTCTTTCTTCAAATACGGCTAGTATCACATTGGGAATTACACTGTTGTGTTACAAGGCTAATCATGTTTGCTCTTTAATATTATAATGAAAGTTACCGATTAGTGTATGAATAATAGCCTATGTAATGATAAATTTGTCCCTCTGTTTAACTAATTAACCACTACGCCATGAAGACTTATGGGGGAGTGGGTGTAGAGATCCACTTATTCTTGATCTTGGCATTAGTTGGAAGTGAGTGGTCAGCTTCACGCCCCGGCCGCTTGACCCCCGTACATCTACAAACATTCGAACTCTTTTAATTATCCTCAGAAATCTCTCAAATTACTTAAGCCATTGTGATTTTCTTAATACGCATGTTATCGATCCTGTATCATAAGCAAATTTTGTTCATTATATAATTCTATATTTACTTAAAAATTTAAAATGTACTAAAAATCGTGTAGGTAAATTAATTAAAGCTATTTCGATTCCTGAAATGACTGCCGGTTACCACTAATCATATGTGAAAGAAACACTTTGAATGCGAGATTATATCCGTAACTATTTTGATGTTATTAAACTGAATATGATATAATAATCACAAGATAATATCCAAAAGTTGAATATTTTAATGAGAATGTCAGTAAGATTTTTAATACTGCTTAGAGTTGTAACTAAAGCCGTTGCTTAGCATTGGCTGGTTCATAGCCTGTGATCGGCTAGCGCTCGATTCACTGTAACTAGATTTTACATATCAACGGTTGTTTACCGAGCCGTTGCTTAACATTCGCTGGTTCGTAGACTGTGATTGGCTAGCTCTCGATTCCCACACATTTTTCCGTTACGACACAAAACTTGTTGTTGTGTATGATTCTTAGTGTTTTGTATACAATAATAGATTCAGTGATGTGAACGGCAATGAAAATTATCTGAAAACGTTTCAAGCATATGGGGTTAAGTAGATTATAAATGTGACCGACTGATATCTTGTATTATGATAATAAGAAACAGATTCTGTGTGATTTTAAACATTTTCAGTATTAGCTATTAGCGCAATCGGTATAGCGACTGGCTATGGGCTGGGCGACTGAGAGGACGGAGTTCGAGTCCCGGTAGGTTGAAGAATTTTCACTTCTCCATATCGTCCAGGCCGGCTCTGGGGTCCACTCCACCTCATATTCAATCTGTACCAGGGGCTCTTTCCCAGGAGTAAAGCGGCCCGGACGTGAAGCTGACCATTCACCTCCAACTATTGCCGAGGTCAGGAAAATATTGGTTTATACATCCAGTCCCCCATACGTCTTCATGGCGTAATGCCTAATTAGTTACGAACAGGGACAACTTTACCTTTTTAACTCTATCAGCTATGATGATGTGAACCAGAGTTAACGATTGTACTAAAATGCAACCACTTGAAACATAGTTTTCATCTTTGGAGCGAATGTCATGTAGCCTATGTGAAATTATGAGTTATATAATATATTTTTGATAAATACCCGAAAATCCAGTGCCTCAATTAATTCGGTACTTTGCCGCCAGTGGTTTAATTCTTGTTGTCTTCAGGAAGGCGGAAACCACATTGGAGCTGAATTAAGACTAAACGTTACGTTGCTCTAAATATGGATGTACAGTTTCTTGCAAAAAGAAAATTGCTTGCAGGGGATACATAGTGTAGCTATTCCTTGCCAACTGCCAGGGTCACATCTCTGGAAAACGATGTTTAAAAAAACCACAAATGAGAATTTTCTGGAATTCTAATTAAATTTTTGTGACATTTTCTTCTTAACCATGTAAAATCTGGTGAGGCCTGCTGCAATGAAAATATTTCTGACAGAAAAATGAAAAGCGCATGGGAGTAGGGACTAGCTGTGTCGACTGGGTCAACTGAGTAAGCTTTTACCTGGACGGAGACAGATTCCAATTTTCCGAAACGTTTTTATTAAACCAAAAAAAAAAAAAAGAAACAAGACAAATATTGCCTCCAAATTGTACTAATTAGCCGGTATGGCAGTTAATTCTTAATCAGCTGATCAAGGAACTAGTTTCTGCTTTGAATTATGAATGTTAATTCTTTATGTTACAAATTCCACTGCGCCTTAGACTCATGTTTGGGTCACACTCATAGTGACATAAAACCTGCAATTGATACGGTGTTGTTTAAAGCCTCAAAATAAATACATTTTTATATTAAAACTCATTCAGTTCCATTTTAATTCATTTAATATCTTCAAAAACTATTTATTTTAAATTTACTTTAACAATATAGCCAGTCTTCCTCGTACGTCAACAAAGTATCTCATTCTATGAAGAGTTCTCTTCCATCCTCAATGACGCATGTATTTATTGTTACACCCACGCATGCTACACGCCCTGAGTTTTATATCCTTCCTCACGCCATTGCCTTTAAAGTGTTGACAGAGAAGTACCGAGTATGAAACACGCAACTTTTAGTTTCTTCGAAGCACTTCCTCTTTCGTCAGGAAAAGAGCCTAATCTAAATGTAGTCTTTGAACACGTATATTTTACAATATTCAGTTTATACCTGATTTTGACTGTCGTGAAAAATTAAATATTTAATTTTCTATTAATTGATTTTATCACGAAAAAGGCCGGTCACGGTATCTGAGCGGTCTAAGTCATGCACTGCTTCGCTCGCTCGGAAGCCGGGTTCGTGAGTTCGGATCCCACTCAGGGCATGGATGTTTAGTGTTTGTGTTTGTGTAGAGGTAGAGGCCTTGCGACGAGCTGATGACCCGCCCTAAGAGTCCTACCGAATGTCTAAGATCTAGTAAACCGGTGCGAAACGGAGAATTTCATGGAGGTAGGGTAAGGTCAAGGCTGTAACGCCAAATGGAAAAAAAATATGAAAAAGAGACAACTGGAATAATTATTAGGAATTGTTTCAACAAATTTAGAAATTTTTTACAAGACCCAAATTCGAGTTTTGTTTAGATCGGCAGATTTCACTGTACCGTATAAATACAAATCTGTAAATTGATTAATCTCAGGCTGAAGCTGAAAACAAACATCAGGCTTTCCTATGAATTTCATCCGCTTAAGGTTTTCTGTACATACATGTGTATAGAGAGGAAACTTTATTAATAAGTGACAATGTGAGAACCTGAAAATCTTTGTGATTTATCAGCTGGATTTTTTTCCCCCCTTGGCACTACAGCCCCAGTGGACCTAGGCCTACCTCCATGAACCTGTCCGTTCACTTCGGTTTTTCTAGATCTTACACATACGATAGGACTTCTTGGGCGGGTGATCAGCTCGTCGCAAGTTCTCTACCTGTATACAAACACAGAAAAACGAACACACACAAACTAAACATCCATGCCTTGAGTGGGATTCGAACTCACGATCCCGGTTTCCAAGCGAGCAAAGACAGTACATGCCTTAGACCGCTCGGCTACGTGACCGACATTCAGCTGGAAATACGGCGTAAAATTTTAAGGTAGGCTCTAGGTTTGATGTTTATTTTACCAGAACAAATTAATTAAAATTGACTGGCCCCAGATTTGGATCAGAAACAAGAAACATGAAAACACAGAATTAATTTTAATACTTTAATGTTTAGAATTTTACTGCAAATGTTGGATCTAAAGTGTACACGTATATTATTTCTGTATTTCAGCATCCCGTTGCAATTCTTCAAATTTGCGTCCATCGTTTATCTTCCATCAAAATTTTGACGGAAGATAAACAAGGGACGCAAATTATTTAAAGATCTTCATATTAATATTCTCTATTATCGCGTGTATGTAAAAGATAAATATTTCTTGCGATTTTGTCCTTATTTTTATCATACTAACATAAAAAGAATATTAATGTCGAAATTTAATTGGCGTGAGCTCTAAAGAAAACCATAAGAAGTACACCTGTTTAGAAGGATTTCATTGAGCAAACAAAGGATGTAGCGGCACAGTTTACATGTTTTCAGTTGTGTTCAGTGAATAATTCGGCCGTATTTCCTCTAAAAGATGGGTGCCTGGCGCAAGGCGGAAATGTTTATAATAATTCTTCGAAATTCTGCTGGTGCCAAGGCAGCTGGAGGAGAGCTTTCGTGTTCTTCCCAAGTTTCTCTAACGTACTTAAAAATTATTGCAATTGCCCTGCAAACATTTATCTCATGATCATTATGAATAGCCTATATCCGTATTTATTTGTTACTGCATTATTTAACGACGCTCTGAATAAAATTCAGAACTTCAGTATAAAATGTGGTGGTAAGATGATTTTTCATCCATGTGCTTAACTAATTGAGCACTACGGCATAAAGGAGTATGGGGGAGTGGATATATAGGTCCACATATACTTGACCCAGGCACTAATTAGAGGTGAGCGTCAGCTTCACGTCCCGGCCACTTTACCCTCGGTACCTATTGGATAGGAGACTGTGTGGGCCCCAGAGCTGGTCTGGACGACGTGAAATGGAGAAAATTCTTGACCCTACCGGGGACCCGAACTCCTATCCTTCAGTCGTCCAGCCAGTAGCCTGTCGCTATGCCTACTGAGCTATCCTGGCTCACATGGTAAGGTGGTAATAAAGATTAAATAGTTAAGAATTTAGAATATGCTGGCCATATCATATCTGAAATTGCTCTCTCAGAAATTGCGTGAAGAGATTTATGAAATCCAATACTCAGAAGGGTTAGCCGAGATTCGAACTGCCCACCATTCGACGTATACATAGAGTGTTACCGTCCAACCTGTCTGTTCAGTCGGCACTTGTCGTCTTTGTAAATAATTTAAGTAGGCCTATATAAATATTTAATTTTAGCCGGAAACTTTATGGGTGCAATGCATGGTCTCTTACTTTAAGGAGAAGAGAGACAATGGAAGGAGGGGGGAGGAGGGGTGCTTCAGAACAGGAAGTCGAGGACATTTGAACTTGAGAGAAATATGTAAATTGAGAATATGTAGAAGTTAGAGGATTCCACTCTTTATACCCTACAATTTCACCTGACACACAACATTATTCGAGTAGCTCAGGAAGGCTGTGAAAGCATACAGGACAACAGGAACACTAGGTAGAAGGGAATGTGAATGAAATAAGAACGAAAAGCCTCTACACTTACAACACAAAAATATTAAATTCAAACATAAACTAATCGTTCGCAAGATGATCATACTAATTCCAGTTGTTGATATGTCGGAACTGTGTATTGATTGAAAAAGCAATCAACATTGAACCATCAAGTTCAATATTGTCACGTGTAAGAGGTGTTTTTTACGGGTGACTTATAGAAGGTTTTGTGTTTAATGATTTGATTTATTGACACCTTATTCACACAATTTGGGACTACAGGCAATTACAGCGTTATTGCTGATCTGCACACTTTAGAGTTGACCGTTTCTCACGCGTTAGGGTTCTCACTCTTCACTAGTCGTATCCTGGCAACGGATTTATAACAGTCTCATTATAATTGAAAATCACATATGAAGTCTTCTTTTCCGAGCCTAATTCCTTTCTTGCTATTACTCCGCAACTGCCAACTCAGTTCAATTCCCCTGTTCCCAAGCTCATATCCTGGCAGGCTGGCGTCTCGAAACTCGACTCAATTCTTAACTGAACTCTTCTTTATAACCACCTTGCATGGACTATGCAGAAAACACAGCCTCTCTATTGTTGGGAAGGAGTGTTTGCAATGCCGTTGCTTAGAAACAGAAGTTGCTCGATTGTCGCTTACGTATTTGTTGCTGCGGGAATCTGCTTACCGAGTCGTTACCTAGTAATGAATTTTGTTCTGACTTCATTACTCCTGTTTTCTGGCGTCATGTTACAATACATGAACTCTTTTAAAATACCCTTAAAACCCTACTGTAATAAAGCGTTAGAGTAAATAAACAAGATCTTATTTTAACGGATTGTAAACGCAAAAATTATCTATTTCTCCCTCCCTCTGTCTCACTGTCTCTCTCTGTTTTTACCGTTAGCCTGCTCATGAGGCTATGGTTAATTTTTTAATATACATGCACAGAATCTTTTCCATAATATCCCCTATGTTAAATTATCTTTGAGACTGTAAGCCTCACTGAAAACTTTATAGGGAAAACGTTTATATCTCCAATAAATATTTAGCAGTTACGCGTAAAAAACTCAAAAAAAATATTAATTTTGATTGTTAAACATATCATATCTAGATGAGAATTGAAGCGATTCAACAAGCTTCCTTTAAAGTTCTCCAATACAAAATTTCGTTAAAATCCGTTCAATTGTTCTCGTGATTTCCCCGTGGGGACGGACCAATCGAGGGACTGCGAGAACGTAATACTCACTGCGTTAGATTACGAACGAGCAAAAAAAAAAACGGACATACGATTATAGGCCGACGCGAACGCGGGAGGTTAATATTCAATTGATCGATAATAAGAAAAGTTAGAAGGTTCTACATGATTTGAAAAGGGGTCCATATTAAGGGGGGAGTTCTTGAATTAGTGAATAATTTTGGAGTACATATAGGGATCCTCAACGTTTCACCTAAGACGGGGATGTAAGTACGTAAGCCATTGTGTCTTCTGATCAGTAATTGATTTGATTTGTACAACCCTGAGGGAAGGGGGCAGCGATTTTCGAAAAAAGTCCATAACAGACATTATCCTTATAACGCAGCAAAAATAATAAAAAAATGTAATTTATTCTTAAATTTTATTTTTATTAATTCAAATTGACTATACAAAATCGATCTATCTATGGGTCTACAGTCTTTATGGACCTTGGCAGCTTTTTCAGTTTGAGATCCAGAAGTCCCAGGTTCGATCCCCGGCGCTACAAGATTTTTTGAGAAGTAGTGTGTCTGGAACGAGGTCCACTCAGCATAGTGAGAATAATTGAGAAGCTTCAAAGAAATAGCTGCTCCGGTCTCGAAAACCGAGATTAGCGGTCGTGGGGATCCGTTGCGCTGACCACGTGACACTGTCCGCTATAGTTGGCACTAACTCCGCCGACAAGCGGCGGTCACTCGGTCGATATAGTTCGATCGCGGACTATAGGCCACGGAGTTTTAGTTTATTGATATAATCGTTAGTGTCATCATCATTAAGACATTCCTTTTCAATTTCAGTTTACCATGAAAGACTTCATATATTCCAGGAGGTTTCAAGCAAAGAAGAGTTGAATTTCGTGTGAATCCTGCACTTTTAACCTTAAATGCACACTCTGTAACGCTTGCGTGACCAGATAATTTAATTGTTATTAACTTGTATACATTTATTTCCGTGGATCGCCAGATCGTTTCATCATTTACTATGTGCATGTGAAGGACATCCAGGTATCCCAGGATTGGGAACCGACTGCGACCCGTGGCTCAGACGCTGATGAGATCCATGTTCAGCACCCTACGCCAGCCGAGCCTGTGCAACGTATCTCATCAGCACCGCAGATGGTGCCGAGACAAGGGTGTACGAAATGCTCTTCTGGACGCGAGACTACTTGCCATCACGCAGTGCCAAGAGCAGTTTCGCTACGATCCCTGGAACTGTTCAGACGAGTACAGGAACATAAGCTTCTCCCACGGTAACAAAGGTAGGCTACAGTCAGATTCATAAATTGACAGTTATTGAGCTGCTCAAGGGATTATTGCTTAAGACTCATTTCAGTATTAGCCTGCCATCTATGACAAAGTCCCTGTGCGACAAATTTCCTTCAGGTTTTCCTAACAATTTTTTTTACGTATACCTTGCCTTGTATACCCATGCATGCTATAAGATCATTCCATCTGATTCTCCTTCTCTCACTCGTTGTAGTAACATTAGATCAGCAGCATGAACTCTGCAGTAGTCCGCTGTACTTTGATCTAGTCCTTTCTCCTAGATTCTAAGATCTTTAAATATAATCTATAAGCGTTGTATGTTTAGTTCAGCAAACTACTTTATGAAACCACATAGTTAATTATTTTACTGTGTGTCTTGCATTTCCATTTATTGAGGTGGTGAAGTGTTCAACTGCGACTGCTTGCACTTCCGTTCAGATTACCTTTGCAACAGGTGCTAACACTGTGACTGCACTATCACTTGTTTCTATCAGCTGTTGTGTTATTGGCGTTCTTATTAAATTTGCCTTTGGTTACATATGATGGTATTTTTCCCTGTAAAGTGAGCATTGAGCCGGTCACGGTAGCCGAGCGGTCTTAGGCATGCACTGTCTTCGCTCGCTCGGAAGCCGGGATAGTGGGTTCGAATCCCACTCAGGGCATGGATGTTTGTGTGCGTTTTTCTGTGTTTGTCTACAGGTAGAGACCTTGCTACTAGCTGATCACTCGCCCAAGGAGTCATACCGTATGTGTAAAATCTAGAAAACCCGAAGTGAAACGGAGAGTTACATGGAGGTAGGCCTAGAACCAAATTGGGGCTGTAGCGCCACAGGAAAAAAAATGAGCATTATTTTCATAAAACGACTTTTAAGGGTCTCTGTATATTAATTTGAACAATTAAATACTAATTTATTATTGGTTTATCTGTTTATTTATAAGGTATATGAAACTCTGTAAATCAGCCAGGGAAGTTATTGCTAAAGTATTAAATCATAAAGGAAGAATTCCTGCTGGGGGCAATGCCACTCAGTACAGAATGTCTGTGGAAACCCCCTAGCCTCCTGTCTCTTAGTTCATGTGATTGTTCACACGGACTAACTCGTGCTGAGTGTGATATTGCCTATATATGTCCACGATTGCGCAACACCTCAAGGCTCATTTCCATGTAGCCCTCCATTGGACACATGAGAGAAATTTTTTCTGCATCTGACGTTCATTTTCCTTATGTCTCATAGGGGCCTTCAATGTATTTATGTTTATGTACTCAGTAATTACTCATTTCCGACATATTATTTTTTCAGTAATATTATTTATAATTGAGAAGTGCTGGTTCGAGCCCAGTTGCCTCTAGAATATCATGAGAAGCATTCCGTGGGCTTCTTCATTGATTCCAACAAATTCTATTGCAGTAGGAGTAATTTAAGACCGCCTCTGTGGTCTAGTGATCAGAGTTTCTGGCTGCAGATCCAGGTATCCGAGTTTGATTCCCGGTGCTACCAGATTTTCTGAGAAGTACTGGGTCTGGAACGGGGTCAACTCAGATTTGTGAGGACAATTGAGGAGCTATTTCAAGGAAATACGGCGAGGATCCGTTACGCTGACCACGTGACACCCTCTAGCCGCAAAAGTTGGCACTAACTTTGTTTACAAGCGGCGGTCGCTTGGTCGGTATAGTTCGCTTGCTGACTACAGGCCAAGGAGTTTAGGAGTAATTTAAAAGACGTTATTACTATCCCCTGACAAATCGTTATCTACTCACCATTCATGATTATGGCCTCAGTTCATTTGAAGCTATGTGACCTCTAAACTGAATAAGTGTTTTCAAGTAAACTAATAATGGTTTACGGACTCACTGTTCTAATGAAACAGCAGTATACCTAATGAACGTTCTCCCTGTACTTCTGAACTCTCGACATCAGTATCATTGGCTCTGATTTACAGGATTTCAGCAACTTTGTATGGTCATATTGTCATTGGGAATATTCCCAATCCAGTGCTGTGATTTAAATTTCCGCCAATCACGGTAGTAGAGATCTGCGCAACGAAGTGCTGTTTCATATCCCGATATGTTGCCGTTGAAGAAATCCCCAATGTCGCTCATTTTAGTAAAAAAAAGAAGGTAAAGCTGTTCCTGTAAGAGGCCGTGAAGGTCCATAGGGTTATGAGACGTCGAGGCTCACACATTTTCTAGACAATTGGCCCACATAGTGATAATTTTGTCAGCCTTAAGCGCCCTCCGCTCTTTATCCCCCAGGAAGATTCCTGGTACTCATTTCTGTTAGAGGGCGAGTCTACCCCAGTGCTATAGTGCGACTGGAAGGATTAAGTCAAGAGGAAAAAAACCCTAATCAGGGCTCTAACCCGCGACTTTCCGACATGTAGCATGTTGCCTCAACCAACTAAGCTATCGCGTGCCTCTGCTCACTTTAGTATTAGTCTTAATTTTTAAACACTTAGTAAAAGGAAATTTCTCTGTTTGAGGTCCTTTGTAATTTCTAATGATTCTGCTACTGAAAATCTTCATGGCACTATCATTCTTAACACTTGCCACTTAACTTTGCAGATCTCAATAAATTACTTTTATTCTGGGTCACTAACACGGGATAAGGCCCTGGATTTGCTAAAGTCACTAGTGGCACATACATACCCCTTTCACTGCAGTGTCGTATAGAATTTCTTTTGTTTTAGGCTTAAATATAACACTTCAACACATATACAATATTGTACCTACGTGACCGTTTGGAACATTTTGAAAGTTACTTGTCGTTCCTGTGAAACCTATTAGCATGGAAACAAGACCTTAATAATTTACTGCTGTCATGTCACACATATGAGGCAACATGCTATAAATATATCTGCTATTAGCTAACTAACTCCGTGGCCTGTAGTCCGTAATCGAACTATACTGACCGAGCGACAGCAGCTTGTCGGCGAAGTTAGTGCCAACTTTTGTGGTTCGAGTGTGTCACGTGGTCAACGTAACGGAACCAAACGGCCGTTAATCTCGGTTTTCTAGACCGGAGCCGCTATTTCCTTGAAATAGCTCCTCCATTATCCTCATAAAGCTGAGTGGTCCCCGTTTCAGAACCACTACTTCTCCGAAAACCTGGTATCACCGGGAATCGAACCCGGGACCTCTGGTTATGTAGCCAGGAACTCTGATCACTAGACCACAGAGGCGGTCCGCACAAGTGATAGGAAAGCATGCCAGTTGTTTCTTGCTTCTGTGTTGCAGTGTACCGAGAGACAGCGCTACTCTATGCCATGTCCGCGGCAGCTCTGACGCACGTAGTTGCCCAAGCATGCGCAGATGGCAGTATGAGGCGCTGCAGGTGCGCAGAGGAGCACAGCCCCGAAGATACGAGGCGTATTTGGCCCTGGGGACTTTGTGGAGACAATTACAGCTATGGCCGTCGCTTCACACGACGTTTCACACAGTTGCGTCAGTCACGCGTGGATCATCTCCATGGTTTCGTGGTGCGCCACAACATCAACATTGGTATCCAGGTTGGTGAGAGACTGAGGCTCCTCCTAGCACCGTGCTCTTACGTAGAAGAGACAGAAAGCGGTCGTGAGGATATTTCAGTGCATATTTTAGTTCTCTCTGTTTTGGATTAGTTCAAACTGCCAAACACTGAGGCTCTATACCTAATATTCTATTTCGTATTTAGATGTCGCCCACAGACCGGCTACACTGCTCCCTATCTTAAGCCAGATGTATTCAATCTATACCTTCACACTTATCTTCTTTGAGATTCATGTTAAAATTATCTTCCCATCCACGCCTAGGTCTTCCAAGAAGTCTATTATTTTCAGGCTGAAATTTGGTAAGAAATTAACATATATTTGGTTCGAGTAACCATGTTTCAAGATAAATAATTATATTGGTCTTTCATGAAGCTCGTATGTAGATTTTTCAACTAAAATACTGCAAGTCTTAAAGGACTTAAAATTATAACCATGAAGTTAATGTTAATCACAAATAAATAGCATTGCATAAATTGTTTTTTAATTAAATCAAATTTCGCAACTGAATTCTTAAAATTCCCATTTTGTATTCTGAAGTTATCGGGTTAGACTCTCGGCCAGGATACACTTTATATTCTTTTTCCCCTAATATCTCCAGATGAATATGGCAGTTGTATGGCAAAATATGCCACAATCACTTCCTTTCACTTGCATTCAAATTCCTCATTTATATTCATAGCACCACTGGACTTCACATAACCTATGTACTAATTCAGAATGTGTCTTCAAGTAAACTAAGAAGGAAAACGCTTTTAAAGAGAAATTCAGAGTTAAAAATTTAAGTGATTTAGAAATAAGAGAAGATATAAATTCCGCAGTTGTCTAGGTCACCCTACAATGTCCATACAAGCCAACAGTCGCCCTGGATTCAATATATCATCCGTCTTTTATGGAATTTTGTGCTTTAGTGTCATGTTCGCTCCCTATCCCGAACCAGATAAATCCACTCCATGCTCTAATGCCCTATTGCTTTCCTATGTATACATTTTAATAATATCCTCTCCATCCAGGCTCCAAAGTTTCCTAAGTATTCCTTTCCTTCTGGTTTTCCAACAAAAATTTGTATTACTTTTTTTTTTCTGTACCAGACCGCCTCTGTGGTCTAGTGGTCAGAGTTCCTGGTTAAAGATCCAGAGGTCCCGGGTGGTTCGATTCTCGGCACTACCAGATTTTCTGAGACATAGTGGGTCTGAAACGGGGTCCACTCAGCCTCGTGAGGATAGTGGAGGAGCTGTTTCAAGGATATAGCTGCTCCGGTCTAGAAAACCGAGATTAACGGCCGTGGGGATCCGTTGCGCTGACCACGCGACGCCACTCTCCGTAAGAGTTGGCACTAACTTAGTCGACAAGCGGCGGTCGCTTTGTCGATAGATTTCGCTTAAGGACTACAGGCCACGAAGTTTTTTTTACCAAGCGAGCAAAATGCTGCGTCAATCCCATCTTCTTTTAACTGAGCATCTTACGAATGTTAAGATGAAAATCTTTTTTTACCGGTTGTGATTTCTGGTTATTCAGATTGGAGAACGGTTGAAATTCTGTTCTATTTAGATAGCTGCTCTACCGCACAAATTATAATGGGTGCTCAAATGACATCTGAAGCCAAAGACATGAAGAATGGCGTGCTGAATGCCCAAGAGTCTTGCACTTGTAAGAAGGCTGGTAAAGCTGGGTTGATTTAAATATCTCCGAGAAAAAAAAATATCTGCTGAAATGTAATAAGTGAGCTCAGATATCACAGATATCCTGAGGCACATATCTGCTGCTGAAGAACCTCACCTTACTACACCTGGTGTTACTCAGACACATTATTATTATTATTTTCAACACATATCACCATTTCCATCAAGCTATGACATAAAGACAATTTATTATACCTTTTCAATGTCCGTGAACGCCGTATCGGAATTTAGAAGAAAAAAAGTTGATGTTAATTTTGTGCAGAACAGGGACACGGCAGAAAATGTCCGCCAGTAGATATACATCCCACATAACAAGTTTTATAGCCCATTCAACTCTTAGTGCCATCCATTCAAACAACGACTTGATGTCTTCCATCACGCTCGTGTTCTTGCCAGACCTCAGAAAGCCAGACAGACAGACAGACGTGTCCAGTTTTGCGTCTGAAGCCATGGTAACAGCTGACATCAGCAATCACATTCTGCTGTCCCCACCAAACCAACAAATTCAACATGCCATCTCAGTGGTTTTTCCACAAGCATCCTTTTACCCTTTGTATTTACACTTTCAAATCGCCATTTCCTAAGGCCATTTCCTTTTCGGATTAACATATATAAAATAATGAAATCAGTTGTCACAATTTCATCAGTGCTTTTTGCTGTTAAGCATTGTTCCCTCCGGGCCCCATTTGTTTTCAGGAATCGTGACCCAATATCCGTTTCCCATTCCTTGCTGCTTGTTTCTTGCTTGCTTTGCTTATACCCGTACTTCTACCCAAATGATAGAGGCAGTCGTTCCTCCGAAACGTCGGTGAGGTGCCAGACGACGTGGTGTCACATCCCAGAAGATATTGCTCTTCATATACTCCACTGTCGGACCCTAAGATGGAAGAAAGTCCACTGCAGAGCGTGCTGGAGGAGGAGCAGAACGCCTGTTCTTTTCTTGTGTATATTCAAGAACTTCACTACATCAGATATTCACTTAACACAAATTACAGTTTGTTTAATTCATATTTATCCGAAGAATGTAAGGGAAACCACGAAGGTAGCCAGTCTCTGGGCCGAAAATTGAATGTGATTGTACCCGAAAACGAGGCAGGAAAGCCGCCCACCCTCTCACAATGCTCGGTCTCTAACGTATTTTAATTTTTAATCCACTACGAGATGTATTTCAATAGAGTAATTTTAGAGTAATGAATTAAAGACGATGGAAGACATTAAGCAGAAGAATTGTACATTTTATTAATAATATACGTGCACTTACGCTTGCAATGTTATTTCTGAATTTGTGCTAATAAACCGTTTTGAAGGCATAATATTTTCTAGTATTCTCGAGAAAATAAATTAAGTATTCTTTTCACTTTTGTTTGATGGTAACATGCACAAAAATTGTTTTTGTGGTAACCTTCAATTTTTTTCGATTCGGATAACTTCGATTTCGTATAGGCATTTTGTTTTCTAACACGAATCGCCTTCCTTCACCGTTAGGATAACATGTATCACTACCGTCCCAAGGAGCGAAAGGCTTCAAAGTTTGTGAGAGTTTCAATCAGAAAATTCTCTCTGAAAGTAGCAGTAACTGGGTACTCACACGGTGCATGCTCCCTTCTCTGTTACATCTTGATGCTGATACGGTTCTAATCGTGCTGTTTATTAGGTGCAGTAGGTGAACATGGTTTGTGGCATCTTAACGGTGCCAAACTGAAAAAGGCTCATCAACTGGACGAATAGCGAACTTAGAACCGTTTCCTACAAGTTCACGCCTCTCGTACTGGCACGAGGTTGTAGCAGTCTGCGAAGGAATGGAACTGCATATTTGGTTCAGTCCAGTAAATTGCTGATGGCCCTCGCCAGTACAGTCGTTCTTAGTTTCGAGCTCCGTCCAGACTTTTACGTATTTTAACGGGGTTTCTTCTTCCACGAGAGGGGGTACGCGGTAGCGTAGTGGTTAAGGTACTATGCTACAAGCCGTAAGGTCGCGGGTTCAAGTCCCGATGAAGTCACTGTATTTTTTTCAATTGACCTAATCCTTCCAGCCGAAACTATGGCCCTGGGGTCGACTCAACCTCTAACAGAAATGAGTACCAGGAATTAATTAAATAATTTTCCTGGGGAGTAAAGCGCGGCCGGAGCGTAAGACTGACAACCTTACCGCCATCTTTGAGCCGATTGTCTAGATAATGTGGGACCCTCAACGTCTCACAACCCTCTGGGCCTCCACTGCCTGTTACAGGGATAGCTTTACTTTTACTTTTTCTTCTTCCACGAGAGGAGAAGTCTTGACTACTAACGGTGGGGCATTTGTGGGGCATAGAATCAAAGCTTTCCATTCTGCCAGTCTTTGTGCATAAAAGAAAACTGATTATCAGCATTACGCTTCTGCCATATTGACACCAAATGAATTAATAAGTTTATAATTTAATAAACAAATACAACCATTGACATGGCATATCACGTAATTTTTATAGAACAACTTTCCCGAGACTAGAATATCTCTCAGTCTTCAGGCAAAGAACTTAAGCGCTATGCATTGGCACCATTTGAGTAGGCTGGTTAATTGTGGTCGGAAATAGGATCCAGTCTGAAAGAACGTTGTTTCAGATATAAAAATGACGATATCCATAAAGTCAATCGTTGCATTCATATATCATTATCAGGAAATTTTATATTTTAGATTCCAGGCAGGTAAAATTTAAAATTAAAATTAATTTACACCCTTCCCTAACTACTTACTGATCAGGCATTAACGATAACCTTGGAAAACATTGAGTAGTCTCGAGAGAACAGCTTCTGGCATGTGGGGAATGTATCCTTCGCAGTCTCCATCACGGGGCCTGAGATAAGGAAAGGGTGACGTCGGTTTGTGGCCAGGTGACATTGCTGAAGTTTCCCACGGAATGCCTGGCCATAGTTTATGGGGGATCGCTGTACCGCGACACGAACAGCGCAATATGGCAGCAAAGAAATCACCATGAATCAATCTTCCTGTGGTCTCCTGCTGCCCGAGAGAACGATAAAGTAACACTTAACGAGGGACAGGACCCGGGACAAGCAGGGACTTCTGTGGCCGAACGTGACGAATACACTTAATTGTTACATTCCTTTTAAGTTTCTTTTCTCACTGATAAATTTAGTTCAGTCAAAAATAATTTCTCACCACTGATTCATTGTAATCCTCAGAAACCGAGAATATTAGAAAAACAAATTTCTATAAAAGGGGAAAGAATAAATTATTAAATGTTAATTCATCTCTGTCATCTGTCTTCACTCTACGATCTAAGTGAGCGGCCACCTTTACCCCCCCCCCAAAAGGGGATAAGAAGCTAGATTGAATGGACATGTTGGCTTCACACTCACTGACTGAGCTACAAGAGTTTCATGTTTTGGTTTAAACGACACATGGGTGTAAAACTTGGTCTCTCTCACATCAAGTGAAGGACATAGACTGAAAATGTTTGAGGAGAGCTTGCTGAGGGGGATACGTGGAAATCTTTAAGTGGAAGTAACGGGAGGTGGTAGAAAATTGTATATTGAGAGATTTATTTGTCTGTACTCCTTCACAAACACTATGAGGACAACAAAATCGAGAGGAATGAAATAGGCAGGGCATGTAGCACGCTTGAGAGAAAATCGAAACGTACTTAAGAGTTTAGTAGAAAATCGAAAGAAAGAGACAATTTGGAAGAAATAGAGACAGATGCGAAAATACTATTTAGAAGGATCTTAGAGAAATTATATGGGAGAATGTGAAATTGATTCATCTGATTTTGGGCAGGGGTCCGTTGTCGCCTCGTGTGAACATTACAGTTACCTTTCTGGTAACGTAATATGTTGGGAATTTCTTGACAAGCTGCTCTTATCGAGAATAGTCCCGCTCCATGAAATTGGTTAATTTTAAATGACATAAAATTCAGTGAAGACTTTATTCTATTCTGTCGCTATCAAAGCTTAAAATCAGAAACATAATTCAGTTACACAAAACCTTTTCAACTTTTTTCTGTTAAACATTATCACAATATGTCACCGAGTAATCAATTTCCATTTTCTCGTTTAAGAAAAGTTGTCCATTTGAAGGAAATTATTCTATGTTCCTGACTGAAGATCATTATTTATTTATTTATTTATTTATTTATTGTGAATATATAGATGTCGCGGTGTTATCCAGCTCCAGAGTTCCAGCGCTCGCAGTGCAATCTACTTGTTAAAATATGAAATCAGTCATAGAAACTATGATTTCTATCGATCACGCAATGTAGGTCGGCATATAGTGTGTCTGTATTGTCCGGTATCCGACAGAAGATTCTGGAACACTAGAAAAAAATACAACAAACGACAATATTGTGGAGATCTAGATGTTAATGTAATAAAGTTTATGGACAGAGCCGAAGTTTTAGAACAAATTAACTTATTTTCATCTCCCTGTAGGTCTACATATCTCTTCAGATAAGGAGACCACCTTGAATTCTCATCTCCGGCCACTTAATTGAAGAGGGAGTACAGTTACATTAGAATTGATGGCATTTGTTTAAGTAGCACAATGGAATTTTATTTTCAAAGTCTGTGTTCTATGAACTTCAAATCATCCGTTACCAGGAATCAGTCAACATTCTGTCGCGCATGGCGAGCGCTCTCCGATGCGCAGACTTCTTCTATTGTGCACTTGTTCTTACTTGGACCGAGAAATGTTGTATCCTCTTTGGCAGCTGTGGAAATGTTGGCAGGTAGACAGACAGGCAGTCGCTCTGTGACAAATACATACACGACGTAGCTGTCTTCTGTGAGGCATGAGGAACGGGGTGACTGCTGCCTGTCTGTCTGCCTGCCATTGTGCCTTTCCCATGCTGCAACTCACAGCACGACCGTTAGTTACACTTAAGGAAGTTCCGTACATTTAGCTGAAAGACAATAGTCATCATCTCCAGACCGCTCTGGCATCCACCCGACCTTCAATCGAAAAGGTTCTGTGAGCTCATTCATCGGCGGTAAAGCTGTCAGAGCATGAAGCTGACAACTCATCTCTATCCAGCGGGTTCTACATTTTTAATCCAGAAAAAAGCTCGGTTCTAATTTCAAACAGGGACGTTTACTATCCTGACTGAGCTATTTCATCATTTTCCTCAGACTCAACAGGAAAATGCCGAGAAAGTACTTCCATTACACCAAAACACCTTCCTTCCAAATCCTTTCTAATTCATTGCTTGTCAGTTATCCTACCATTCGACCCTATGCAAGGTATGACAACAAAGTTCGCGAACTCGTCACCGTGTGCTAGGGTGACCAACTTTCGGTCATGAATTTAAGGGAGATTTAGTGTGCTTACGGTGGCAGCAGTACGATTCGATGACGTTGGCTTATAAGTGTTTCACAGCTGTGTTGTTGTTGATCTATGGCAGTCTCTTTCTGAGTGGCGTCTATTATTGTCTGAGAGTATTTTGGTGTGCCGTCGCGAGAATTTCGGAGCTGGAATTAGAGCACTGTCTGTGAGGGAGTTTCTAGTTAGTAAACAAATAACTGTACTGGAACAACATCCCTATTCACCGGACCTAGACCCCAATGACTTGTTTCTGTTCTCGAAGATAAAGAAATATTTTAAGGAAGGCATTTTGATGACACTGATAACATCAGGGGCAATACGATGAGAGCTCTGAAGGTCAGTCCGCAAAACCATTTCCAAAATTATTTTGAAGGTGGACTAGGCGCTGGCATAGGTGCATAGCTTCCCAATGGGTGTACTTTGAAGGCGACAACAATGATAGTCAGCAATGAGCTATGTAGCACTTTTACCGCGATGAGTTCGCGAACTTTATTGTTAGATCACCTACAGTCTAGCTGCTGACAGCGCTGTAAAATGACCCCCAAGTAATCCGCCTGGTGCTTATGAATGCGTGGAGCTATACCTCTAGGATATTGGGCTTCTTCAAATACGGGGACATGTTTATATTTGATTTTCTCGTATGCCACTTTATGAAGATAAGTGGTTAATTTTGTGATTGAAACGGAAGACGCTATAATACGTCGAATTGGTAGGGATGATTAAAGAGGAAAGAAACCAAAGATTATTCCTTACAAAATTCTCCGTTCTGTGAACACCTCTGCTTTTCGCATAATTTATCTCTCTTAGAACCGAATGTTCTCATTAGCATTTCGTTTTCGGATCAGCTTGTCTGTTACATTGACCTGCCTAACGCTCCTGCCGTCTTTCCTCCGGCGAGAGAGGCCCAGTATCTCTTGTGGAGGACACTGGGTCGGTCCGTATATCCGGTGGCTAGAACCCTACGTACACTTGTGTCTGAATTTCACATGTCACTTTACTAGCCGATCTATACCTTACTTAGCCGCTTTAATCCATGTTTCATGTTGCAGGCAGTGGGCCAGATGAAGACCGTGTGTAAGTGCCACGGAGTATCAGGTTCCTGCACCAGTAAAACTTGTTGGAAACGGCTCAAACCCTTCAAGGAGACAGCAGAGATCCTTAAAGGAAGTTACTATAAGGTGAAAAAACCTACCCTGCACTAATTTTTCGCATACTGAGGGTTGGAGTCCAGCTGGGTCTACTCGGCACATCAGCCACTGATTGACCTATTGTACCTGCCCCGGGTGATTATGATGATAGAGAATCTGGCGGAATGAAGATTGGCAGGGGAAACCGAAGTGCTCGGAGAAGACCTGCCCCAGTGCCACTTTGTCCACCACAAATCCCACTTGACCAGAACAGGGCTCGAACCCGGGCGGCAGCGATGGGAAGTCAGCGACTAACCGCTTGATAACCTGCACTACCAAGAATATTGTTATAAGGAAGACAGGAAAATCCACATTGGCGTAACGGTTGTTGCAAGGAAGGGATAGTGACCTTACCATGAATGTTGATGCTTCATTGAGTACATTATTTTCTTGAGAAACTGCGTCATCACATGTTCAAGAACCTTCATAGTCTACTTAACGACGATTCCTATTTCAGGCTCTACCCCCAGTTACCCATGAAATGCATTGTAGGAGCCATGGTTCCTGTACTAATCACGAACTTTAATTAGCAGGCGCAGATCGAAGTGTCCAGCAACCACGTCTCGCGGGAGAGGAGCTGTAAACGCCGAGTGCCCAAGAGCACGTTGGTGTATATCCATAGTTCCCCCGACTTCTGTCCGTCGACTCGAGGAAGGCGCTGCTTGAACCCGGACAACTGTGGCACGCTGTGTTGCAGCCGGGGTTATGTTCACAAGACAGTTTCCGACATTCGGCCTTGCAATTGTCACTGGGTGTCCCGGAGTTACGAGCTGTCATGCAAAAAGTGTTCCGTCATGAGGGACATCTATATCTGCAAATGAGAGATTCCTGTTCCTGTCAAACGAAATACTGTATGAAATACTGCACCTTTGAAGGTTAGCTGCTCGGGCTAATGTGTCGACATTACCGTAATTTCGGGGAAGATTGTTCCCTCCTACTGACATCTGTCCTCAGTGGGAAGGTAAAAGGCTCTTCAGAAATGCCTGTAATATTTATTACCTAGAAACCGGAACATTCCACAATTAAAATGGACAGGTGTGAAAATTTCAGTCTCTGAAAGGCTTATTACAAAAAGAATGTATACTATTTTTATGAACATATTGTAAATAGGACAAATTGTAACCTTTGGCTTGAACACGTAGTGAAACCGTGTTTATAGATTTTTATATATGACTGAATATATATTAATTTTGTAAAAAGAAATCCGACTTGCTTTCCTAAATGAAATGGTGACATGGTGTCATTGTCACATTGCTGAAGCCACAAATATTTAGGCAGGTTCAGACAGCTTAACAACAGGCTAGTTAATCTCGAGAACGAATAGCAAATGAAATTCATAGCAGCGCCATCTTGCCATGGCGTAAATTGATTGGGGTATCGTAGTTTTCATCCGCATGTAAGGAATTCCGATAACATCGGCTGTAGATGTTCGAGGCTTAGTTGTACACGTACTGTGGCTCGAGTTAGTGCTCAGACGCGTCTAGACTTCCAAATCAAGAGAATCTCTTTCAGCTCTAAAGCAGTTTACTTATATTTATTTAAATATGCCGATAATTTTTAATGTCTATTTTACATCTATTTCTGGGTACTAGTGGCCGTATGCTTTTTTTCACCTCTTGCTGTAATGGCATTATGTACCTAACAACATTAGTTAAATATTTCTTTGCATTCCCAAATGATGATATATTTTGTAAAATAATATAAATAAAAGCATTTATACACAATTTAAATTATTCATGACAGAAATTCAAGCTCCAGTGGTATGTTTAAGGTTTGAATTGTGTAGAATAGGAGGGTGTGGTGTATAGCTTAATTGTGTTGGGGGCGGGATGGGGGGCTAGTGTTTGTTCTGCGTCTGGATACCCAAAAACGCCGCCATAGCCTTCCCAGAAGATTGTCAGCGTATTTAATTGTGGTCTACATAGGCAAAATATAATCCTAATTTTTTTTATATTGCTGCTGGGATGGGACTACGTCCCTTGTACTGCGGCCACTTCTGGCCTATTGTACCAGCCCCAGATGATAGGTGAGGGTGATTGTAGAGCAATTGATGGAATAAAGATTGGCAGGGGGAACCGAAGTACTCGGAGAAAACTTGCCCCAGTGTCACTTTGTCCACCACAAATCCCACTTGACCAGACGTAGGATCGAAACCGAGCAGCCGCGGTGGGAAGCCAGCGATTAACCGCTTGAGCTATGGCGCGGCCTAATCCTGCTTTACATGAAGCTCAGTCTGAACCCCCCCCCCCCCCGAATGTTAATGCTACTGGCTGGAGACCGAGGAGTCGGAGTTCGAGTCCAGGTTGGGTCAAGAATTTTCTCTTCTCCGTAACGTCTGGGCAGGTTCTGAGACCCACCCAGCCTCTTATCCAATGGGCACCGAGGGCTCTTACCCCAGGAGGTAAAGCGGCCGGGGCGTGAAGTTGACCATTCACCTCCAGCTACTGCCGAAGTCAAGAAAACATGGCTCTATACATCCACTCCCCCACAAGTCTTGATGTCGTAGTGTTTAATTAGTTAAGCACAGGGAAACTTTATCTCTTTTGCCTTTTACAGAAGGCAGGTATAACTTTCTGCATAAAACATCCATCTCATTAAGTAGCTGTCGGTCGAGAAAAAGGCTGATAAGTAATGATTTGGGATTGCTAGAGACAAGAATTGTGCCACTTTATGTGCATCTGATGTCGTGGTAACGTGGATAGAACCCAAGCTTCATACACGGGAGATCCAGGAATCAAATACAGGCTCTGAGCCTGACTATCCTCTCAACCAACTTGCATACCGTTCAGTATAGTCATGTTATCTGAAAATCTGAAATAGTTGATAAATAAACTGAGAATAAATAAATAAGTTTATGTGTAGTATTAGTTTCTAATATTACTTCACCTGAAGTTACAATGATTGCCTTAAAGAAAAAGACAAAAGCTACAAAATGCAGCGACCATCGCACAATAAGTCTTATTGCACATACAGCAAAGATAATAGCAAAGATACTTAAAAGAAGAATTGAAAGGAAAATAGAGGATGTACTTGGAGAAGATCAGTTTGGATTTAGAAGAGGAAAAGGAACCAGGGATGCAATTGGG